CCGCTTCAGACGGGCATCTCGCAAATGCTAAAAATCCAAACCCCGGAGCCCGCGACCAGGTCGCGTGGATGGGGTGCGGAAACACTTCTCTCTTACCTCGTTGGCAGAGGTAAGAGAGCTTTGGGCAGTCGCAGCCGAACAGGCTCCGTCGCCTCAAATTCAGACGAGCTCGACCGCGACCCGGGCTCCCCAAAAAAGGCAGGTCGCAAAAAAAAAAACACCGCTCGGCATCGTCGGTCATTGTTCCGATGTTGTAAGCGCCCGAGTATGTACTTAAAATACTTCTCTCTTACTTCGTTGGCAGAGGTAAGAGAGCCTTGGGCAGTCGCACCCGAACAGGGTTCCGTCGCCTTAAATTCAGAGGGACGCAAGCTCGTGGGCGTCGCTGGTCTCACTGCCTTTCAGCATTTCCCCATCGCAGAGCTTCTGGAACGTCTGCTCGGGCGGATGGCGGGAGGGACGGGGAGGGCGTTGACGACAACGCGGTCTGGCCATATACGCTGGAGCCTGGGCGGTGCCGGCGGCGGGTTTCGACCGATGCGTGTCACGAAGCGCCCTCACACCCGCCCCGACCTTCTCGCTTTGTCCTTGCGGTGCAAGTACGGACGGCGAACGAAGGGGAGAGAGGAGGGCGGAGGGAACCGGACGCCATAGGCGAGAAGCGTCCGAGTATGTACTCGAAAACCTTCTCTCTTACCTCGTTGGCAGAGGTAAGAGAGCTTTGGGCAGTCGCAGCCGAACAGGCTCCGTCGCCTCAAATTCAGACGAGCTCGACCGCGACCCGGGCTCCCCAAAAAAGGCAGGTCGCAAAAAAAACACCGCTCGGCATCGTCGGTCATTGTTCCGATGTTGTAAGCGCCCGAGTATGTACTTAAAATACTTCTCTCTTACCTCGTTGGCAGAGGTAAGAGAGCTTTGGGCAGTCGCAGCCGAACAGGCTCCGTCGCCTCAAATTCAGACGAGCTCGACCGCGACCCGGGCTCCCCAAAAAAGGCAGGTCGCAAAAAAAACACCGCTCGGCATCGTCGGTCATTGTTCCGATGTTGTAAGCGCCCGAGTATGTACTTAAAATACTTCTCTCTTACCTCGTTGGCAGAGGTAAGAGAGCTTTGGGCAGTCGCAGCCGAACAGGCTCCGTCGCCTCAAATTCAGACGAGCTCGACCGCGACCCGGGCTCCCCAAAAAAGGCAGGTCGCAAAAAAAAAACACCGCTCGGCATTGTCGGTCATTGTTCCGATGTTGTAAGCGCCCGAGTATGTACTTAAAATACTTCTCTCTTACCTCGTTGGCAGAGGTAAGAGAGCTTTGGGCAGTCGCAGCCGAACAGGCTCCGTCGCCTCAAATTCAGACGAGCTCGACCGCGACCCGGGCTCCCCAAAAAAGGCAGGTCGCAAAAAAAACACCGCTCGGCATCGTCGGTCATTGTTCCGATGTTGTAAGCGCCCGAGTATGTACTTAAAATACTTCTCTCTTACCTCGTTGGCAGAGGTAAGAGAGCTTTGGGCAGTCGCAGCCGAACAGGCTCCGTCGCCTCAAATTCAGACGAGCTCGACCGCGACCCGGGCTCCCCAAAAAAGGCAGGTCGCAAAAAAAACACCGCTCGGCATCGTCGGTCATTGTTCCGATGTTGTAAGCGCCCGAGTATGTACTTAAAATACTTCTCTCTTACCTCGTTGGCAGAGGTAAGAGAGCTTTGGGCAGTCGCAGCCGAACAGGCTCCGTCGCCTCAAATTCAGACGAGCTCGACCGCGACCCGGGCTCCCCAAAAAAGGCAGGTCGCAAAAAAAAACACCGCTCGGCATCGTCGGTCATTGTTCCGATGTTGTAAGCGCCCGAGTATGTACTTAAAATACTTCTCTCTTACCTCGTTGGCAGAGGTAAGAGAGCTTTGGGCAGTCGCAGCCGAACAGGCTCCGTCGCCTCAAATTCAGACGAGCTCGACCGCGACCCGGGCTCCCCAAAAAAGGCAGGTCGCAAAAAAAACACCGCTCGGCATCGTCGGTCATTGTTCCGATGTTGTAAGCGCCCGAGTATGTACTTAAAATACTTCTCTCTTACTTCGTTGGCAGAGGTAAGAGAGCCTCGTGGGCGTCGCTGGTCTCACTGCCTTTTAGCATTTCCCCATCGCAGAGCTTCTGGAACGTCTGCTCGGGCGGATGGCGGGAGGGACGGGGAGGGCGTTGACGACAACGCGGTCTGGCGGGTTTCAACCGATGTGTGTCACGAAGCGCCCTCACACCCGCCCCCGACCTTCTCGCTTTGTCCTTGCGGTGCAAGTACGGACGGCGAACGAAGGGGAGAGAGGAGGGCGGAGGGAACCGGACGCCATAGGCGAGAAGCGTCCGAGTATGTACTCGAAAACCTTCTCTCTTACCTCGTTGGCAGAGGTAAGAGAGCCTTGGGCAGTCGCAGCTTTTAGGATGTGCTACCCAAGGGACTTGGTCTCTTTTTTGCGCCTCTGCCACCGGTCCGCCGGTGGTGGAGGCTTTTTTTTTTCCTTTGAAGTTTCTCTCTCTGTTTTAACTAATCGCCTCTGGCACCGGTCCGCCGGTGTCGGGGGCTTTTTGCGCCTCTGCGACCGGTCAGCCGGTGGTGGAGGCTTTTTTATTTAATATTTTTTGGAACTTGTTTTTCTCTCATATCTAATCGCCTCTGGCACCCGTCCGCCGGTGTCAGGGGCTTTTTTTCTTTCTTCTTCTTTCTTTGTGATCGTAACCCTAGACCCCCAAAGACTTCCCCTATCATTAAACCCTAACCCTAACTCTAGGTTAGCCCTAACCCTTACACCTAGCCCTAACCGTAACCCTAACCCTAGCCCTAACCTTAACGCTAGCCCTAACCCTAACCCTAACCCAATACCATGTCTTACACCATATCCTCACTCGTGACCCAACCCTAACCCTAGCCCCAGACCTAACCCTAACAATAACCCTAACCCTAACCTCAACCCTAGCCCATAACCCAATAACCCTAGCCCGAACCCTGTAACCCTAGCCTTAACCCTAACCCTGGACTGGCTGCACGGAATATCTGGACCCAGGTGGTCGAAAGACTTAGCGCAGAGCCCACGGAAAACGCCCCTCGACTGCCAAATATGCGTGTGACAATGCCATTTTTCAGTGTTGAGGGGCCGAGCGCGCAGGTCGGACGGCCGTTCCCCTCGACCAGCTGGGCACACGGTCGGTGCAGGCCGTCGAGAGAGCCGGCCGTCTCCCTCGACCAGCTCGGCACACGGTCGGTGCAGGCCGTCGAGACAGCCGTCCGACTCCCTCGACCAGTTCGGCACACGGTCGGTGCAGCCAGGTCGAGGGGCCAAGAGCGCAGGTAGTCCGGTCGTCCCCCTCGACCAGCTGGGCACACGTTAGGTGCAGGCCGTCGAGACAGCCGTCCGACTCCCTCGACCAGTTCGGCACACGGTCGGTGCAGCCAGGTCGAGCGGCCAAGAGCGCAGGTAGTCCGGTCGTCCCCCTCGACCAGCTGGGCACACGTTAGGTGCAGGCCGTCGAGACAGCCGGCCGTCTCCCTCGACCAGCTGGGCACAAGGTCGGTGCAGGCAGGTCGAGGGGCCAAGAGCGCAGGTAGTCCGGTCGTCCCCCTCGACCAGCTGGGCACACGTTAGGTGCAGGTCGTCGAGACAGACGGCCGTCTCCCTCGACCAGCTCGGCACACGGTCGGTGCAGCCAGGTCGAGGGGCCAAGAGCGCAGGTAGTCCGGTCATCCCCCTCGACCAGCTGGGCACACGGTCGGTGCAGCCAGGTCGAGGGGCCAAGAGCGCAGGTAGTCCGGACGTCCCCCTCGACCACCTGGGCACACGTTCGGTGCAGGCCGTCGAGACAGCCGGCCGTCTCCCTCGACCAGCTGGGCACACGGTCGGTGCAGCCAGGTCGAGGGGCCAAGAGCGCAGGTAGTCTGGTCGTCCTCCTCGACCACCTGGGCACACGGTCGGTGCAGGCCGTCGAGAGAGCCGGCCGTCTCCCTCGACCAGCTGGGCACACGGTCGGTGCAGCCAGGTCGAGGGGCCAAGAGCGCAGGTAGTCCGGTTGTCCCCCTCGACCAGCTGGGCACACGGTCGGTGCAGCCTGGTCGAGGGGCCAAGAGCGCAGGTAGTCCGGTCATCCCCCTCGACCAGCTGGGCACACGGTCGGTGCAGCCTGGTCGAGACAGCCGGCCGTCTCCGTCGACCAGCTCGGCACACGGTCGGTGCAGGCCGTCGAGACAGCCGTCCGTCTTCCTCGACCAGCTCGGCACACGGTCGGTGCAGCCAGGTCGAGGGGCCAAGAGCGCAGTAAGTCCGGTCGTCCCCCTCGACCAGCTGGGCACACTGTCGGTGCAGCCTGGTCGAGACAGCCGGCCGTCTCCCTCGACCAGCTCGGAACACGGTCGGTGCAGGCCGTCGAGACAGCCGTCCGACTCCCTCGACCAGTTCGGCACACGGTCGGTGCAGCCAGGTCGAGCGGCCAAGAGCGCAGGTAGTCCGGTCGTCCCCCTCGACCAGCTGGGCACACGTTAGGTGCAGGCCGTCGAGACATCCGGCCGTCTCCCTCGACCAGCTGGGCACACGGTCGATGCAGCCAGGTCGAGGGGCCAAGAGCGCAGGTAGTCCGGTCGTCCCCCTCGACCACCTGGGCACACGTTAGGTGCAGGCCGTCGAGACAGACGGCCGTCTCCCTCGACCAGCTCGGCACACGGTCGGTGCAGCCAGGTCGAGGGGCCAAGAGCGCAGGTAGTCCGGTCATCCCCCTCGACCAGCTGGGCACACGGTCGGTGCAGCCAGGTCGAGCGGCCAAGAGCGCAGGTAGTGCGGTCGTCCCCCTCGACCAGCTGGGCACACGGTCGGTGCAGCCTGGTCGAGACAGCCGGCCGTCTCCGTCGACCAGCTCGGCACACGGTCGGTGCAGGCCGTCGAGACAGCCGTCCGTCTCCCTCGACCAGCTCGGCACACGGTCGGTGCAGCCAGGTCGAGGGGCCAAGAGCGCAGGTAGTG